AGATTAGATACACTCTTCTGTTTCTTTGTTTGGCTCTTTCTCTTTGGTTTGATGTGACGACTCTGATTTCAAATATTTGCGTTTTTTTGCAAAATGGATTAGCAGTAGATCACAATGTTTATGGTTATCAGCTGTCCGTCACAATCTTTTCTTTGGCGCAGCGATGAACAGTTTAATTTCAGCTTGTTTTTGGCGCCTAAAAAAAATTGAACCGACATGTTCAATCGGAAATTTATCTTCGAGAATACCGTTAATGGTCGACTGGCACATATTCCCCGGACTTTGCCGGCAATGTTTTCATTGTCTCTGCTGTCTGCCCGTCATGAACCTCTGTTCACATTAGCAAAAAAGTATTTTACAACTTTTGCATCCCAGACACACTTTTAACTACATTTTGTCAATCTTACAACAAACGAAATTTCCAAACTGCTGCTAAGAGGCAATTGATGAAAAGAAATTTTGACCGCACGCGGTCCAATTTAATTGCGTTTCTATCTTATAATTAGCAGATTAAAACCCAGAGTTATCCCGTGCATGCGCTCTAAAGAATCTCGATATCCCATTGGTTCCCAAAATTAAGTCCTACATTTAAAACCCGAGTCGAGATTTTTCACCTAATTTGAAGCAAGATTTGAGCGGTTTGAGCGGTTTTTTTTAAATCATTTTGGATGGATTTTCAGACTCACTAAAATCAATATTTTTGCTAACACGGCAAAAAAAACACTCTTCAAAAAAAATGAAATATTTTTTTTTCAGTTTTTTAAATAGAAACACACGTGTCAAATGGGCTCTTTTTCCTTTTCCACCCACCTGCAAATTTTTACATGTAAATTTGTTGACCACATTGTCCAATTGTTATGAAGATTTACATACAGACTAATAACGCCACGACAAACATATTTGGTCTTCTTACTCAACCTCGTAAAACCACTAATATATTGAAGCTCGTGTGAGGTGGGGGGGGGGGGGGGGAGTGGGAGTTTGAGTAAAAAGAGCCGTCAGTCAAAAAAGAGCCGTTTAAAAATGAATTAAAATTATAATAATAATAATAATATAAAAATATTTAATTCAGTTGATGATTATTACAATACAATATGTATATTTACAATCATCAACAAGGATTGTCTAAAAAGCCTACGGCTTATCTAGTAGACAACCTTAAACTCAAATATCAATGACAATACAGCTGTTTATGAACTTCCTTATTATCAAGCAGATAATTATCAAAAACATCGTGTATAAAAATCTTGAGTTGATGTCTCTGCAAACTTGTCACATCTTCATTCAATAAACCAGATGCAGTTATATAATTATGAATAATGGTTCTTCTAACATTTATGGAATTTTGAAAACATTTCGTTCTTTGTATTTTACTATTAACTTTTCCAGAAGCAACTCTCCTAGTGAAGTACGCCACGTTATTAGTCGTGGTACTATCACAAACATTATTGTAGCAAATATCTTTAAACAGTTCGTAAACGTGAAGATCAAACACCGTTTCAATTTTATGCAGTCTGTACTTTTCAACTGTGCTCTCTCTATAATCAATTCTAAAAATAGCACGTATTATTCTCTTCTGTATTACTAAAATTTTATTTAGATCTGTTAAGTTTGCACAGCCATAAACCAATACGCCATATTGAAGAACAGGTTTGATGTAGGATCTGTATATCAGTAGAAGCATTGGAATATTAAATAATTTTCTGGAACGATATATTACTCCACACAGTTTAGACAATTTCTTAATAACATGTTCAATATGCATCTTGAAGTCTAACTTTGAATCAATGTAGATACCCAAATACTTCGTGCAATCAACCATTTTTATGCATTCACCTTTTATATCAAGACCAATTTCTCCATTTTTCTTGCTGAAATTGAGCAGAACAGTTTTATCAGTATTCAGTGAAAGTTTATTGCAACATAAGTAATTGTAAACTTTGTCAAATTCGGTTCTTAATTTCTTTCCAGAATTCTTACCAGAAGTCATGATGGATGTATCATCTGCAAAAAGTGTAGTATCTAAACTAGTGCTATCAGGTAAATCATTTATGTAAATCAAAAACAGAAGCGGACCTAGAACAGATCCTTGTGGAACTCCCGTTGAAACATTTTCAAGTGTCGATCTATTATTTCCAATTTCAACATACTGCTTTCTATTAGTCAAGTAGGCTCTAATCAAATTGTTACTTTTACCCCTGATCCCATAATGATCCAATTTTTGCATCAAAATTTTGTGATCAATCGTGTCAAAAGCTTTCTTGAGATCCAAAAACAAAGCAATTGCATCCGCTCTTTTATTAGTAGCATCTCTTACAAATTCGGTCAGCCTCGCAACAGCCTGAATCGTAGATCGCTTAGATCGAAAACCATATTGGTTCATGTTTAAAATAGAAAATTTCTCAAAAAAATTTATGAACCTCGAATGTATAAGTTTCTCAACGACTTTGCTCAGGCAAGACAACAGCGAAATTGGTCTGTAATTACTAGGATCTGTTTTATCTCCATCTTTGAACATAGGGACCACTTTGGCAATTTTCAGTAAGTCTGGGAAAACATCAAGGTGAATGCATTCGTTAAAAATATCGGATATTAATGGTGCAATTACCACTCCTAACTGCCTGATGATTTCATTGTAAATATCATCAGGTCCACATGAGAACTTACTTTTAAGGCTATTGATAACATCTAGAACTTCTCTGTGGTTAGTTTCAAACATTACCATTGATTGCACTTGTTTTGGCGATCTACATATCGGTACTGATGAGTAAGGTATTTGCGATGCAATTTTCGACCCAATGTTACAGAAAAAAGTATTCAATTTATTCGCATCAATATGTGTCGTTGTGTTATTCCCGGTCTTTCCTATTCCTACATTTTTAAAAATCTTAAATAAATCTTTACTGTTAGTCACCTTTTCCACTTTTTTAGTATAAAAGTTCCGTTTCTCTAATCGCAGCAAGGCGTTTACTTTATTGCGAATGATTTTATAATTGACATGCGTTTCAGTCGACCAGCAGGCCTGTAGTTGGCGAAGAAGTCTATCTCGTTTAAAAATTAGTTTTCTAATTTCTGGAGTTATCCATTGTGATTTCACTTTTCGTTTTTTACCATATACTTTTAATGGAGCGAATACATCTAGGCAATCGATAATTGTTTTAATCAGAAACTCAACTTTTTCGTCACATGTTCCTTCCGGTACATTTTTTAACAGGTAGTTCACATCTGCTAAAAACAATATTTTTTCGGTTGATTTTTTTAGAAAAGACAGATTACGAAAAGTCATGTTATCATCTATGTTTGACACCACGTTAATATCGGCGAAGATAATATTGTGATCACTAATACCAGAAATTACATTATGTGTTGCAACAGGAAAATTTGAAATTATATGATCAATGCAAGTACTACTACGGTTAGTAACGCGCGTTGCTTCGTTGGCGTTATTTATAACAAAATTGTAACTTTTACTTAAATTTTTCAACCCTTTTGAGCAACTATTTTCAACCAGTGTATCAATATTAGAATCCCCAACGAACATTGTTTTTGAATTTACCATCGTTTCAAAGTTGCGTTCCAGAAAACTATAAAAATGATCGATATTTATATTGGGTGGACGATAAAATACGCAAATGTTTGTTGAAGATAGAGATCCTTTTTTAAGTCTAATACACAATGCCTCAATCCCATTTTCGCAAACAATATTTTCATTTATAATAAAGTCAATGCCAGTCTTAACATAAAAAGCAACACCCCCTCCCCTTTTATTGGTTCTACATCTAGAAACTATCGGTTGAAATCCCGGAATATTGTACATTGCCAATGGGTCTGTTTCAGTTAGCCAAGTTTCCGAAAGGCAGATAATCGATAGGTTTTCGTTATAAGTTTCAATAAATCCCACTAAATTGTCAAAATTGCATCGCAAGGATCTTATATTTAGAAAAAGAAGTGTTTTATCAGCTGGCAAAGTCATCGATTAGATTTTTTTAAAATGCTAAGTATCAGTAGGTTCGATCTCACCCGCGTTCTCCTGCTCTATCACATTGACCGGCGCTTTTGCCATTTTTCCAGGTGGTGAGCTTACCACTGCGATTACATTTTCAATTAGACCACACAATTTGTCCAGTTTATCTTCCATATCAACGTTCTCTCGTTGCCTCTTCTCCCCTCTAGGTTTTCCATACAATGCATATTTGTTTTTCGCAGTACCATGTTTCATTTGGAATAACTCATTTCTGGAATAAGAAGACTCGTCGATTATCTGTGTATTTCCCTGAATTCCTGTATCCATTTTGTTACCATCTAATTCTTCCGAAAATCCGCTGGCAACTTTGTCAATCTCACCGCGACTGTTAACTGGAACCCATTTATTATTTATTCTGAGAAGTGGTTGACAATTGTTTGTTTTAAATTTCAAACCTTTCTCTTTTGCATAATTCACTGTATCTCGGTCAATTTCTGGAAGCCTCTCAACGATGAAAATATTCTTCGTCGATTCATTGTCAGTTAACGTAAATCTGTTTCGCCATACATAGTCACGCTGCCCATTGTAAATAAATTTAACAATAATTGGTTTTTTCTCTGCATTACCCGGTAAATAGTGACATGCAGCCAAATCTTCGGGTGACACTTTAGCTCCTAGAACACGATTCATAATATCAAGTACTGGTACCATCGGATCCACGCCGGATTTCACGCCAAGAAATGTCAAACATGATCGTGATAAATATCGTTCAGAGCAAAGTACACGGTTTTGAATAATTACATTGTCCTTGCGCAGTTGAGAATTTTCATACTTGAGATGCTCGATAGTATTGTCCAATGTCTCCATTCGGTGAATAAAGCTTTCGAATAATCCTTTCACTTCTTCTGGGTTTGATAAATTGGCATTCTCTAGGTGTGCACGCAATAATGCCATTTCTGCCATGTGAATACAGCGATGTGATGTCGTAAGAGAACGCGAAGCAAATCGTACTAATCTTAGTTCATTTCGTCTGAAACTATTTAATAAGTTTATCACAACAATTAGGCTAAAATTGATTTAAAAACGAATTTGATCAATTTTTTAGCTGGGATTTACGATCAATTTAAATCGATTTTAAATCGATCCAAATCAATCTTGATCTTTTTTATTTACTCTTTGTACTTTTTTCATACTCAAATTGATCTAAATTTTTTCAACATACTGTTTTCATAACAAAATTGATCCTAATCCCTTTTTGTCAGTGCGGGCATCCGTTTCCTACAAAACAAGTGTGCAGGCTAAGCTTAACTTTTCCCCCTGAAATTCTCTCTGACTGAGTTCAGACGATGCTTTTGTCTCATGTTTAGAGACATGTTTTCGATTGTTTTATAGGCCGCCATAACTGGACTCCGATGGGTGAAAGAGGGGTCTTGAAAGCCGCAGTCAAACTTCCAAGGTATGGCCAGCGCTTTCCAGGCCGTCCCAAACAAGTTCAATTGTTTCCAAGTACGAGCTTTCTTAAGATTCCTCCACCGTCGATTCCTTTCCATTCTTTTACATCCCACAGTAATCTTCCCACCATCTTGCCATCATCACTTCTGGTCTATGGAGGTCAAACCGGGTCAATAGAGAACTGATCACAAGAATTCTGGCATTCCGGTCATAGTGTGGCAGTTCAAGGGAACTGATCACATCTATGCCTCAAACGATGTTGACAGGATGTTCAACACAGTCTTCATCGCTTCTGTGGATATCATCAGGTCAATGCCAAACAATGACAAGGAAGCTAACCATGGGTCTTTTTGATTTCTCTCAGATTACGTGCTCCCGGCGTCTCCAATAATGGTACCAACCCTAATATTGTTGATGAATCTCGTCACACTCATCGGCAACGGGAGTCTCCTTTAGTAGTGTACCATTCTGTTTTTACGCACGCTGTGATTTCTGTATCTTCAATAACAAGCACCGCTCGCATTATTTTGTTCGTTCTCTGTCTTTTCGACGACTATTTTCGTCATTTTCCTCAAAAGCTCATACGAGAGATCAAACATGCGTACCAAACTGACATATTTTGGCACGGATATCGTTTGATCGATCAGTGTTGCTTCAGCTACGAAATACAGAGGTTACCTGTTCTCTCACACAGGCGCCAACTTTGAAAGCCGCAGAGACTTAGCGATACCGGGAAATCCATAGTTGCCTTTGATTCCTTTCTGGCAAATCATCAAACCACGGCAGAAGCTCAAGACCAGATGGTGGCAACATCCAGATGTGATAACTGCCTTTGCATACATGAGCGTCCAGGCATAACCACTGTGTTCGAAAAACTTCCTGCTTCAATTCGTCCCTGAGGGACCTTGTATCAGCAGCCCAACCGTTTTGACTCTCATTCGGGTCTCCATGGACTTTCTTGTTCTTTCAGTCCAGAGATTTAGAAGCTCTACTCACTCAAAGATGAAATAAGCCTTTCTCATGTTTTGTGGAAAAGGCTTGTATCCATTTTTTGTATCCTCGTGAATTGATTGTATCCATTTTGAGGCCACTGGGTACGTAGAAGTTCTGACCTTTGCCGTAAATGAAGCAATATGAACGCAGGTATTCATATTCCTTCTTGATGTCTCTAACCCCTATTTCAACAAGTTTCCTGCCGAGTCCTTTTTGATCATCCGACATCAAGTCTGGCTCTATAGATATATACAGAATAACTTTATCAAGACCATGGTAGCCTTCCTTCTTTCCTTCCTTTTTTGTTTGGTCCAGTTGGTCAGGCTCTAAGCATCTTTTCTTCTACTTGCAACAATGACACCATCTCTTCTCCAACAAGGAAGTCACTCAACGCCTCAAGAACACCATTCCGTTATTTCTCGACAAAACTTACTCCCGTTCTTTGACTTCTTCCATCAAGACTCCAGCTAGACACCATATCTGTCCCTGTGCTCTCAAGAAAGCTTTCGCTATCAGAAAAGGTACTCCTGAAGCCGAGGTGCGTCTCTTGTTCAAATTATTCTGATAACAGGTCCTTCCAGGTCTTGTTCAGTATCTACTCCTCGTTAAGTTAATTTGTCTCAGAACTTATCAGCGTATTCGCGTTCCAGCAGCCTTCCTTTTTATGAGATTACCGAGAACTTTCTAGATGACTCTCAATTTCCTGTCTATCTTTAAACGCAATCTATCTAGGATAATAATAACTGCTTTGTTTCGTAACTTCCGGCGTTCATGAGCGTAAGAATCTCGTTGTTCATAGAAGTAATTAGCGCGTCTAAATCGTTCATAAAACTAGAAATTCTGTTGATGTGATCACAGCCAGCAATGAGTTCAGTTATTGTAGAAGATAAGGATGCTATTTCGTGTTCACTTAATTGCAGCTTATTGCCGTAATTACAATCCGAAGCATTGTTTTCCGTATTTTTTACAGTAGTTTTACCTGAAATCTTTCTCGTACCTCGTGTAGCAGGCATGCTCAAGGCTTAACCGAAGTAAACAGCCGTAAAACTTGTCAGAAAACTTTGCACTTGAACAACTTGAACAACTTGTCGTATTAAGAGTTTGGAGTAACCAACAATAAATTTATGCAAAGAAAAATGAAATCGGTAACAAATTTTACTTTTTCTTGGTTCTTGGAAGGATACATTAACAACAATTGAGACAAGGATACATTAACAGTATTGAGAGTTCTTAATGGTATACGTACCGTTCTTTGCCAAACGTGCTTGTCTACATGAGACATGTGGATTGTTACCCAAACATAAGCAAGGCTACTTAGCTGAAAAAATACTGGATCATTTTGCTGAAATAATTTCATTTGTCTATTGGGTATTTATTTTAATTGATTTAGTAAGAAATTGACTTTTGTTAAGCTGGGAATTGACTTTTTCTAGTTTTTCTTTTGTTGTCTGTAATATTTTTGACACATGCATCAAAATGGCGGGAACAAGGCAATGCCTCAGCTTCTAGGAAAAAGTCCCAATTACTTTTCTGCCATACCTGTTTTACCGATTGGAGAGATTCAATGGCTTCCCACGTGCTTTTTCGACTGAGCGCAAATTCTCCAACTTTGTTGACTATTCCAAATGTGCTACTCGAACACAACCTGCCCCAGTCTTCAGATGATTCCTGAAGTTGAGTAGTCTCCTCTTGGGCGGGCTCAGCTCAGCTCCCAACTAGCCCGTCCCTTCTCACTAGCATACCCAGCAATTGATGCTCACACTAATAAAGTGGGCTGCCATCCAGAACGCTCACCAAGCTGACGAACGTCATGGATTGCCGGTACAAGGTTTCAAGGAGTCAGGGAAAGCAAATACCATCGTTAAACTGTATATGCCGGTCAATCTGCGTAGGATGGCCAGGGTTCAATTCTCATAGCTAGGTAGAAGTCCATGAAGAAGGGCTTACGTCCTAATGTCTTACCACGTCTACTGTTTGACTAACCTCCGAAGCTTCTCCGGTTCCCAAGTGTTCTACATCATTAGGCACTGCAGCCAGACCTTTTTACAGTTTCCCACTTTTCTCTACAGTTTTCTCTCTGACCTAGTTGTTAAGCCAATTGTCAACGTGCATCCAGGTGATTCATGGCGCTATAAAATGGATTCCTTTGGCCGCGGGTCAGTAGCATCAGTGTTAGCTATACGTTCACCTTCACAATGCTCATTACCTGAGTAAACGATACGGCTGGACCACGATTAAACGCCTCGTTCCACAAGGTCACTTTGACAAGTCGTTTAACCTAATCATTAGTGTCGTTTTGAAGAACGGCCTAGGCTTTCTCTGGAGTTCGAAAAGAAATTTTTGGAGATGCGGCATCGCTGCGCCGCCGAAGCTATTAACACCCACCTGCCAGGTGAGTTGGATTCAATACAGGTTCGACTGTATTTTGCCTAAGTCGAACACAGTCGAAATATTTTTTTTGTCGGTCGAAAAAACTCGGTCGAACTTGTCAAAACTTTTTCCTTGACCGAACTTAGTCGAAATATTCTTCCTCGGTCGAACATAGTCGAAAAATAGACAACTCAAGGTGATTACGGATGATCATTTGACCGTTTTGGTGTAAACATGAGTTGCACACCTTAGACGAGTAACCAAGTAAAACTCCTTTAGAAATGAGCTTACCCTATTGGACTTTGAGCTTAGTTGAACAGCAATCATAGCATTGCATTTTAAAGCGACATTTTAAATGGGTTCCGAAGCTAACTGGTTTCTACGTCAGTTTTTGAGACCATCAGAATCAGCCGATTTGTACGCAGCGGCGCCATAGGCAATTTTAAAATGTTGTTTACGATGTTTACGTGGTAAATAAAGGAGAGTTGCTTATGTTCAGTAGCGAATTTAGGGGAGGGGGGTAGGGGCGGGGGCCGATGTTTTTTCTCAGGGGTTCAACCCCCTGCCGACCCAAAGGGTCCCCCTTTGTACTATTTTGAGATATCCATATTTGCTACAGACCCTACAACTTAAACCTCAAAATTTTTTGAATTTGAGGGGGAAGCGCGCGCCGAAAAAACGCCATTTTTGGTCAACATTTTCCAAGCGCCTTTTTTGGCCTGTTTTTTTTTCAAAATTTTGACTGCGGCGCAGAAAATTTGGACAAAACAGTCTTTTTAGTGCTTTGCGAGAGCTCGGATAATCAATTTAGTCAACCTAAAAAAAGTCGACAAAATTTTCGAAAATTTCTTTTAAAATCCGCCCCCACCCTCGAAAAATTCCTAGATCCGCCTCTGCCTATGTAGATCAAAAAAATCTACTTTGACTAAAAAATATTTGTACTACTTATAACTTCATGAAGTGTACTTTGCTAACCTTTTTAGCATGTTCAACCCACATACTGTTGAGGACAGACGAGCTCAATGCCAGACTAGTGAAATACCAGACCAAACTCAAGGTCAGACTTGAGCAATAGAAACCTAATTAAAGGTCAACTGGTATAAAACTCAATGCACTCAGACAAGGTCAACTGGTCTGCTGGTATTTGATAAACTAATTAATTAACTGGTAATTAATTAACTGGTACTATTTGATGCTCAGTTTGTCGTGTCATTTTATAAACACAATCTCAATTCATTCTTCAA